TAAATTTTACGTGCAATAACTTGCTGTCTTTTTGCAATCAAAAATTGATAGCACGGTCTATTCAAAATCTGTTTTCGCAATATTATTTTATATATATATAAGTTGGAAACAAAAAATTAAAAATATTTCGGATTATTATAGTTTTTCATTCTAAACCTAAAAAAATAAAATTTAAAAATATATATACAGATTAAAATTTTGTGTGACTTTGAAAAGCTTCACTAAGCAGCCATACCTTTATGCAAAAAAATTGTTAATGTTAATTTTATTGTTAATGTTGATTTTTATTTAATTTTTTAGGTTTATCGAGGATGATTGACTATTAGCTAACCAATGAGTTCTATAAAAAATCGATGTTCAAATACTTTTTCTTCATTTGTGTACATAAAATTGAAAAAAAATGCATAAAACAGATTTCGAGAAAAACGCGTTTAAATTTGTCGATTTAAGGGTCTTGAGTACTTACAGTGCTCGAAGGCTCTGTTATTCCAGGAATATACGATAATCCTTCAGTTTCTTCATGGAATTCATTTTGAGCAATTTGAGCATTCTACGAGCTATTCAGGCTTCTCTCGTGTTACTAAGGCTTGTTTTACAATAGAGTCGTAAGTGGTAAGTTGTAAGAAATTAACCAATCATAGTCGATTATTTTTTTCACATTTAACTATGATTGACTAATTTTTTATGGCTTACGACTTGCGACCCCATTGTAGAATAGGCGTAACAAGGATCAACATCATCGATTTTAATGAGATTTTATGATATGTTGTAGAGCGTGAAAAAATATTAAATTTATATTTTTCTGTTTATGTTTAACTCGAGGTTTGGGGATGAAACACCCCCTCGAAAAAAAATCTTTTCTTTTCTTTCGAAGTGAATATCATTGAAACTATAAGAGATAAAAAAACTTTCAGAATGAAAATGAATTGAATCGTTTTAAGAGTACTGTGGAACTATATACATATATAGAAAAACTTTTTTTAAATTTATTTATTATACTTGCGCGCCATGCAATCGTATATAACAATATAAAGGTTGAATTTATATTATAGGACTTCGCATTTCGTTTTAAAATTGTAGGAGATATCCTCGAAGAGTTGTACTTTGATTTCTGAAAAAAGAAATCGACTTTTTTTGACTCTTTAATGAGACTTCTTTAATTAAGTACTCTGTAACAGGAATATAGAATCTTATCTTTGTAATACATAATTATATCGTAAAAAGACCTTCAATAAGAATATCCTTGAAAAAAAATCAAAACTATTGTAATATTAATTGAGTTGAATATTTAGATTTTATTCGAGAAGCACGTATATTTAGCATTTTTTTTACTTTTTTAAAAAGGTAAAAAAAATTTGTACTCATCACGTATTTTGTAATGGCGAACGTCTTTATAAACAATTTATCTTATAATTGATTTCAAGAAATAGATTTTTCCTCTTATCTTAAAATTGCTGTGTTACATATCCTGAAGCCTCTTTTCGTGAGAAATCTTACATACATTCTGATTAGATAGCTCTCTAACTTTTCCTCTCTTAATAAAACTTTTTAGTGTGTTAGAAATAGAAAAGATGATTTGTAATGAAACATACTGGAAATATGAAGAAAACTTTCAGAAATAGATTTGACGTAAGAAATTGTAAAATATTTATCTTTAATATGTACATTGCGTGTAATATTTTTATTATGTATATGAAATTTAAATTTTTGTTCAATTATAGAGAAGATAAAAAAGAGAGAATAACAATTATTTAAGAAAATATAAACAGTGTCTGTTAAATTTTTTGTTTTTAAAAAATCGATGTGATAAGAGGATAATTTTTTTCTATAAAATTAATGATAGTGTCTTTTTTATGATAAAGAGAATTGTTTGAATGGGAATTGAGGAACCTTCCTGAAAATGTCTTTTTTTTACGATAAGTGTCAAATATAATTCTATGATTATCTATAATAAGCATCGTATCAAGATAGCTCAATCTGTTATCTGTACCAACCTCTGGTAAATTGTAATTTTGTATGTAAAGAATTGAAAGTATTCAGTGTATTATTGATAGTATTAGATGGGAGTGCAAGAATGATATCATAAACATGAAGATTTAAAATAAAACAATGTTGTGTTAATAATTTATTGATTGCTATTTCTTTTAGATCTTGCATTACACTATCGACAATTATCAGTGATAACGATGAATCCATTGGAATACTAAATATTTGTTTATAAGTTTTATTGTTAAAAGCAAAAAAGAATCTAAAATAAAACTAACTGCAATAATAAATTCGTTTTTAAAAATATCCGTCTTTACTGAAATATGATCCCATCTCCTATTGATGCTATTTAATGTTAGATCAACGAGTATTAGAAAAAGAGTAGAGAAAAGTACTACCTCTAACGAAGCTCGAATACACACGAACATATAAATGAAATTTTGATAATTATATCGTAAATATAATGTTAAAAAATTTAATTTCTTAGAAAATTGCGATTTCACAGAATTTGAGTAGTGTATAATTTTTTAAATTATTTTCTAATGAAAACTATGAATTCTACATTAATTAATATAGTTTTTTAATATAATTTCTTAAGCCGAATATACTCACTTGCGATATTTTTATCTCAATGCTGCAAAAAGTATGAATTATTGCAAAATATTATTTTATTTGGCTATTCTTTCATATAATCTTTTCTTCTAAATAATTATTTTTTACGAACTTTTAAATATGCAATTCTAACAAAACTTGTTATAATAAAATAAAATTATATTAATATAAATAAATATATATAATTAAAATCT